CAACTAGATATAATTATCTCACTCTCTGCAATGTAAGGCTTGGTCTACAGTGTCTAACACATTTCAGTCTTTGGACTTGAACACTCTTTGTGTTTGTATTTTTAAACGTAGATACTGCAAACCTTTTCCTACATTTTAATGGATTTTACGGAAATTATATTGGTTTATCTTGGAACACAAACAACTCTCTTAATAAATAACAAAATCCATTTATTAATAAAACCAATATAAAATATTCATAAAACAGTTTTGTAAACCAGAACTATGTCTGTTATATAGAGAGATTTATTTTTTGAAACTATAATAAAAATTTTCTGCTTGGCTCAACTATGAATATATTTGTAAATTTTGCCCACATAGCTATTTTTTTTTCTTTATTAATGCATTAATGATGATTGCTTACTTATTTAAACATATTATCACCTAGAATTTGCCTTAAAAAGCAATAAGATGAGATCTGCTAAATAGGAAATAGCATAAAACTTTATGCATATATATGTATTTATTTTATACATTAAGAATTCTGTAACATTTGTGAAATATCCATTTACTGCCTACTCACCTACGTAAAATTGCTTTTAGTATTCAATTGTTGGTCATAAGCTATTAGGATCTGAAGAAAAGATACTCTAAAAAAATCCAGAATGACCAGAAGTGAACCTATATATTAACTTTCTCCCTGCAGTAAGATTAATATCCTGGCAGCTGAGTTGAATTGTTAAACCACTATGAAACACAGGGAAATTGTGAAAACTTTTTAAAATATTGTAAAAAACATTAAAAGTTAAAAAAAAAAAAATTAGCATTCTAATTTCACTATTCAAGAATCTCGGGGGGGGGTGGGGTGGGGGTAAATAAAGATACTACCAAGCAAACCTCTTGTTACCTTTTTTTTCCCCCCAATTCTTTGGAGACTATTTTGTGGGGCAGAAACATGGTATCATTACTAATAAACTTAAAGTCAAGTAGTAAACTCTGAAAACATCCCATCTTTTCTATAGGCAAGGTCTTTAGGTAGCCCCTTATATTAGGAATATCCTTTAAACTTATGAATGAGACAATATGGTTGACTTCAGGTTGTTTCTTTCTCATCATTCAGTGCAGTTTATATGTTTTCCCCCAAAGACCAATGGTTAGATTTCTTGTCTAGGATAGATTGGGCTATATTTGAATATCTCATATGTCTGTTGAGTTATATCTATAGCCATAATTTTCCAATAATTTCTTAAATCACAATACTTTGGTGTGATTACAGAGACATAGGGCAAAGTCTTGATTCCCCAAAACTGCTCTAATTCACATATGAATAATTAAAGATTCATGGGACCAGTGAGAGATTGACTTTTTTAATCTATTAATCAGGGAATGCACCTGAGGGTCAGAGACCCTCATTTCTATTCCCAAGTTAATACTGTAAATGTGTAAATTGTAATGGTTTTATGAAAGAGAATCTTGAATCCGGCTTTTTCTTCTCAGGTTAATTAGAGCTTTTTACTCTTGATGGCTATTTAATTATTCCTTGAAAAGCAAAACAACGTGATCAGAAAAGATGAAGAGAGGATTTCTGTATGTTCTCTAACTCAATGACTAAGTTATTCTGTAGGATATGAAATACAGTAAGTATTTGAGATGATTAGAGAAAGAAACATAGTTATTTCTCAACCACTTTTTGTCAGGTGCTTGGTTTTTACAAACGTACTGTCAGAACTGCAGCATTGACCTGCATCAAATTTTAGCCTCACTAGCTAAACTTCGTAGCTTTCATGTTGCCTGATTATGATTTTTGTAAGAAAAGTAAAAAGTGGACTTTTTTCTCCAACTCCAAATGATTTCATCAGTGCCGTTAGAATTTGAGAGATGGCAGCTGAATCTAAAGAGGATGGCTCCAAAAGTCTGGAGCTGAAGCAAGGTTTGTATTAATGAAAGGATATCTCCAATGAGCACCATTTATGCTTTGTTACAGAAACACTTATTTTCAGTTCAGCAAAGAACACATGGTGTTCATGCCAAAGACAACTCCTGACTACTCCTACCAGGTGCAGGGACAGATGGACCGTGGGAAGGCAGAATGACATGACTCCTATTATAATTTTTTTTTCTCATGTTGAATTGTCAACTGTCCCATGCAGCAAAAGATTTGAAGCCATGCTATGCTGTAGAGAAGACCAATATTTTCAAAACTGATTTATAGACAATACTTAATATACAGAGCAAAACCCTAACATTTAGATAGCTGTACCAGGGCTGGATGTGGCTATGTAAATGGGAGGGCTCAGCTCCCCATCATCTTTCTGACAGCAATGACTGTTTCTTAGGACTATGTTAACATATCAGTCTGAACTGTGTAATACAAGCATCTAAAATATTTCATTTTTATACATTAAAAAAAAATACAGTTATGGGAGAATCTTATGGCAAGTTACACATAAATTCTTATATCTCACCCAAACTAGTGTAAAAATATATCTCCCTCATAAGATAGCTGACTCCCAAATCTTTCTACCAAGTTACTTTTCAGATGATGATGCTTTTTCTAATTAATTATTTTTTTTTTCCACAGAAAGTCATTTTTCCCATGTTTTTACTGTTTATAGCTTACTTATATCCAAAAATGAAAATCATTATATGGAGATTAGAGAATGTGTTCCGTGAATGTGAGAAACACATCTCACTGCATTGTAACACATCTGCATAAATACTTTGTCTCCCTTGACTACACTGCCATCACAGCTGTATTAAGCTTCACCCTTAACCTGCACCCAAGCAACTACTTTAAATCTAGTTCAGATATGGCTACATGGTACTGAAGGGTAAATACAAACTTGCCATGTGCTGAGTTCTCTGCTGGTGTCTCAGCAGTCAGAGACATGATCACAGCTAAAGTAGCTGCTGCCTTATAGAAAACAGCATTGTTAGAGGTTCCTAACTACTGCCCTTTCTCAGGAAATCAGTGTGAAGACCAGGTCAGAAAGAGCAGGATGGTATGGCTGCAGTTTATCTCAATTCAGAATGTGCTTTGTAATGCCAGATCTATCTAAGTATACATTTATTTGTAAATCTAAAACTATTAAGAACAATCTTAGCAATTTAAAGTGTTCATCTAGCTTTTCAACTCAGTAATTCTCTACATGTTTTTTTCCCTTTATTGATTATTTGGCTTTGTGATGCAAAAGCATTTCACATTAAAATGCCATTGCAAATATAGTTATCAGTGTAGAGGAAAGCATTCTGATAATCTGAGGAAATGGGACTTGCTTCCCACAGTCCATTCAGAAAACACTGTTGTGGTTCTCTAATGTAGGCGAGATCCAAATAGAACTGCCAGTGCTGAACACAGATTATAGGACTAACAAACGTGGTAGTGTAATCGCTAATAATGAGGTAATGTAATCATATGATGACTTAAGAAATCTGCATGCTTGGAAGGTGAAACAATGTAGATTTGAATATGCTAGGCAAGTGGATTGTATTCTGGATAATTCTTCATACATACATGGGTTAACATTTGTTGTAAATTATATCTACTTATATCTGTTTATATTTTGTTGATAGATCATATTCTTGACAAAGAAGAAATAAACTTTCTTTTGCCTTTGGTATTATTTCTGTAATAACCCTATGCATAATGCTTTCAACACTGTTAGTATTATAGTCAGATCAGACATTTCTATTTCACATTTCTAACAATTAAAAATTTTGTAACAAATTTACCTTTTTCTAAAGAAGTGTTCATAGCTTATGTAAACACAATTCCTATACTGTGTAGTTGTGTATATTGACTGAACTGCTTTAAGGTGTGAATATGTGACTGTTTTTCTTTTATTATGATCATATTATTTTCTGCCGTCTTAGACCAATGCTGCGTGTGACTTTGGTGAAGATGGTTTGGAAAAGAACATAGTTCCTTTCTGCACAAGGTTAGGCTTTAGCTGTCAGGGTAGAGATTCATGACAATTATTTTATAATTCCTGAATTATGAAAGTATGTAATCATGCAGACTCCCTCAGCTGTGAACTAAATGTTGTGAGAGATGTAATCAGAATTTAAAGAGTGACATTAAAAGAAATAGTGCTTCATCTGAAAAAACATAAAGTACTCAACAAGACCATATACAATGCTGACTGCACTGAAGTTGTGCCTATTTAAAAGTGATGAGGTTTTGTTTGTATCTTTCACCATTCTTTTTTTTTTTTTCTTTTTTCCCTCTGTGTTAAAAGAAAATACTTGAAAGAATCTACAGTTTGACAAAGCTTTATACAACCTGCATACACTGCTGTCTTTAATTTACTGGCAACCCATCCTCAGGTCATTCTCTAATACCCATTAAGACACTTCTGGGTTTTAGTTTATTGCATTTAAAGTTAGTGTACACGTAAATGCAGAGCTAGGTTCCCTACCTATAACACAGTCAAGCTGCAGCAATATTTTCTTTAAAATTACTCTTCCAACAATATGGTAGCAAATAAATTATTGCAGTATTGCAAGCGAGAGACAGAAAGGTTGACAAATCGTTACTTCTTGAGACTCTGCAGTTCATAGAGTGGAAGCAGTTGTGTATTCATTGGCTTATTCACCTATAACTCAGGTCCTACTTGTCTGTAACTATTATGCTACTGAAGATCAGATAACTATCAAACTGTAGCACCATGTTCTGGCTTAAAATTTCAATGGGTTTTGTGCAACCTGTTTTTTTACAGTATCACAGGCTCCAAGAGCTACACAAACTTAAACTGCCACTTACATTGAATTATTTGTGGCTATTACAATCTGTTTTAAATGTGGAGAGGCAAGTGTATTTCTGGAATTGGAAGCCTATCTGTACAGAGCTGAGTCATAGAAAGAATTCTTTAACTCAGAAGATCACAAAATGAAGACAGGAAACAGTTTTCTTACCAATCATCCACAACATCTGCAGAAGTTAAAGTCTATGGCACAATCTCCAATAGTGTGAAATTAAAAAAAAAAAACATACTGCTTTTAAAAAAAGATATTTTTTTTACCTTCAAGATATGAGTTATTCCATGTGTATTCTCTGCATTGTTTTGCATCTATGAGCTAGGCATATGACTCCAAGGCAGGGGTGATTTGCAGACCCTTCAAAACAAGGAGGCAGAGTTAAATATCTGACAATGAGATTCTGCACGATTACATTAGTATGATTGCACATAAGCCAGATAATACACATTCAAGAAATGAGTGTGTGTCAAATGCCACATCTTTTTGCAATGTGAAGATTCCAAATGGGGCATATGGGACTGCCTTAAGGGAGCATCCACATAAGCCTATTCTCTAAGACAGCGTTTCCTGAACAGTGACTGTGTCTGCAATCAGTGGTCACCATGTTTACTTTAGCAATAGATTTGATATTTATGTTAAACTGCTGGCAACATTTCACTTCTTACAAGTAGGACATCAATATAAAAGTCAGTGTGAACATGACCTCATTTTTTGACAACCTTCCAAGTCAGGACAGAAAAGACAAAAGTTGGTGGTACTTTTCAAAAGCCCACCAGTCATACTGATAGACTTTTCAGTCTACCTTACACACTTTATTGAAATATTATTCCAAAAGCCTACTTCACATTGAATATTGGCAGTGACGTCACGGAAAATAGACATTTACTGTCAATTCATCAGTGTACAAAAGTCTGTCCATTAATAAAATGTTTTAAACCAGTAGGATAATTATAGTGAAGGCTAGTTTTCTTGAAACAAAGTTGAAAGTGACATACTGTAATGTCCTGATGTTTCATCTAAGAAGTGAATGAGTGTAATTTGTACAGTGGATGCTAGTTCTTACTATTGAACACTGCTATAGACATATGCTGAATCTTCATCATCTAAATAAATTCCTTTTGTATTAATTTCCAGTCAACTGTTAGGCTACCTATGAGCTCAAGGAATAAAGTATATGTGTCTGCTGAAAACTGCTTTGCTATTAGCTTTCCTCACAGACAGTGAGCTTTTAGGATCTTTTTCTAGTTGCGTGTCTGTCTTTCCTCTGCCCAGAAACAATAGTCTTTCCTTTGTTCATTTAGCTCACTCTATGACTATACAATATTTATTTACAGTGATATAAAATACTATTAAGTATGTGATTTATTTTAAAACACCCTGAGTTTTCAGTTCCTCAATTTTGTCTTGCTGACCCATGACTTTTTTCAACAGTTGTACGTACTTTAAATGCTGTCATTTTCCTTGCCTTCTTTTTCACCCCGTGTTGTGTGCTGATGCCCTCAGCACAGGTCTCCCCATACACAAGAACCTTCCTTTAGCCCTACATTAATTTGTTTAGAAACTTATGAACAAATTATAGAAAGTATAGTGGATTGCCAGTTAGGTTAGTATAAAAAGATACTGCTTTCAACTGGGACTTTAAAGTGCATATTTTGGCTATTATATTCTAGTGCTTTAGGAAGATGAGGCAGTCAGATGTTCTCCATGAACAGCTGTGGAAGTTGTGATTAATAAGCTCCACCTGAAGGTAATGAGAACTAATTTATTTGGCATTTTTATCAATGTACCAAACTCCTCTTTCTACTATATTTTTTAGGAAATAATGAACAAATATTTTTGGATAATAGTACGAGAAATATAGTCCAAGAAAAAAGTGACCATACTGCAGCAAGTTCAGTGAAGGACCATGAGGATGATTAAGGGACTGGAGCATCTGTCATGCAAGGGGAGGCTGAAAGACCTGGAGATGTTCAGCCTGGAGGAGAGCTTCATCTTTTGACTTATCCAAACTCCAACTGGACATGGTTCTGGTCAACCTGCTCTAGCTGGCCTTGCTTGACCAGGAAGGTTGGACCAGAGCATCTCTAGAGGTCCCTTCCAGCCTCAACGATTATGTGATTTTATGATAGGGTTATTTTTATTTTTCTGTGTTCCTGAATTCTGAGCATAGTATTGCTGACAATTAGCTCTGTTCTTCTTTTCACCAGATGTAAAGGTTCATTTCCATGCTCTCCTGAGTGTTCACTTAAACTGATTAAAACCTCTTAGTTAAAAATTAAAAGCAGTCCAGATAAATGAGATCATGATAATTGGAGAAGAAAGCATTCCAATGATCTGATGAATTCTTTAACTGTGACCACACTTCAGGGACATTTCATCCATATATCATGAAAAGATCTCTAGATTTTAATGATGGTCTAGGGTACTTATAAATTGCTATAGTATCTGTAAGTTTCTGGAGGCACCTTAACATCTGCTAAGCTTATACATCCCCTAATAGAAACATACTTGTTTCATTATGGAGCTAAAATTTTTGCCCTTTTTACTCTTCTGCAGAATTGACTTCATACATGCTCTTTAGAGGTGAAATAAAGAGAAGAAATCTATAGATTCTAGCAAACAAAAGCCCTGCAGGGGAGTTAAATGACTAAACACCATTCTTGGCACTACGTTAAAGTCTCAGAACTATCTCTGAGTTGAAGGAAGCTGGTCTACCTCAGCTGTACTGTCTTTAGGAAGCCTACACTTGAATTCTCTTGGCTTCCACAGAACATGACAAAAATCTCAGGGAATCTCTGTAATTTATCTTTACAAGAATGAAGAGTGACAATGGCTTACCTTACTCTGTCCTGCTAATTCTTCAAGGGAATACTGAGACTATGAAATTCAGGGATTAATAGAAAATATATACATGGCTGGCAGTTTTTTCTTAATCTATAAATCACATCCCAGTGATAGAGGCCTAAAGATGTTGAGATTGCATCAGCCATGTAAAACTGAAAAACCTGGTTCTGAAGAACCCATTAAGTTGCAGGGTAATCTCAGAGGGGCCAGCACTCCTTGGACAGCATTCAGTTCAGCTTCAGGGTTCCCTGGGAGCCTACAGCTGTAATTTTCCATGTATCCAGGACTGACCCAATATGCTGCTCCATGCTCATTTTCCATCTAAGACTGACAAGGACCTAGCATCATGTTCTCTGAGTGATCTTAGTCTTTTGATAATTCTCAGGTCATTCTCAGGCATTTAGTGTAATTGTGATCACTCTAGATTTGATTTCTGCTGAAGAAAGCAAATGTAGACCCACCTGCTCTTTACATACCAGGTATTGGCTTCATAGGCAGAAAACCTGTGTTCAATTAATTCCTGAAAGGAGTTGATTGGGTTGGTTGTGCAGTGCTCAGCAAAGGCTTCAGGGTGTGAGATACAGATTAGACTAATGTAATTTGGCAGGGTGGAAGGTTTTGGAAACTTGCATTTTACTTATTCTCCTTCACTCTGTCTCCCTCTCCCACTCTGCAGTGCCACATATGGTTCTGTTTTTTTCCAGATAGTTTTTTTCCTAGCTGTGTTTACTAAATCTCATCCTTGAAAAAAAAAAAAAAAAAGAAAATAAAAAAAGAAAATAAAATTGCTCAAATGTTTCTTGGATAAAATATTCACAGCACAACATGTAGATTGAGATAAATAAACTAAATCTTGCTACATCTGCTACTGTTTTGAACTGAAATTCATAGAATAGTTTGGATTGTAAGGGGCCTTTAAAGGTCATCTAGTCCAACCTCCCTGAAATGAACAGGGACATCTTCAACTAGATCAGGCTGTTCAGATCCCCATCCAGTCTGACCTTGTGTGTTTCCAGGGATGTCATCTACCACCTCTCTGGGCAACCTGTTCCATCATTGTTTCTCTCAACTATTGTTGTTCATTTGTGTTGCTGTGTATGTTGTATTAACACAACTGCTCAGGGGATCGTGCTATACAATGCAATTCGAATGATCCCTGCTTAAAAAAAAAAAAAAAATTTCTAAGATATTAATTTAAATCAGCTGAGTGTTCTGGTTTGAAGTTCCCCAAAATAGTACAGTTTTGTGAGAATGACATAGGGAGGAGGCTGAAGGGCTGAGTATGGCTGGGAATGAGAAAGATGGGAGAGAGGAAAGGACAGTATTTCTTAGGACATGTCTTTTCTGGACAAAATGTATCCTGCACCTATATGCTCAGCTTCCTCTGTGAACATACTGACAGGCAAGTTTGTATTGATGGAGCTCTCATTTTCCTCTCTTTGTCACTAAATTAATTTTGAAAGCTTTTTTTTTACCATACAATGGGAAACCCTCATCTTTTAACTTCACAAAAATGCCTGAGAGCACTCAAAATTGAAAGTGATTGACTCACCAGGCTGTAGTGCCTGCCTCCAGTTACATCAGCCACTTAAATATGACATACTTGTCCTTGGCCTCTCATTTCCTGGTAGCCCTACTCCTACCTCACAATGAGCAACTACATTGTTTTAAATGGTATTATAGGTGGATACTTATACATGTAAGTATGTTCCATTTTGGCCCTCTTTAAGAACTGAATGGTTTGGCCATTCTCGTGAGATGCCCAATAATGACAAGGCTGTAGATTAAGGGTACATCTTCAATGCCAAATCAAAATAGAGGCATACCTAAGAAGGTATTGCAATACAGCAGAAGTAGTGGGATAACACTGTTGACTACTTAGTATGGAAGACAGCCAGCTGACTGGTTAATTTGTTCTCCTTCTCTGCCTGTATTTTTCCATCATGTTATCTGTGCTTCAGCTGCTGCTGTACTTGTTACTTCTTGTTGACTATTCTTACCTGAAATGGATGAAAAGTCACCAGTGGTAGAGAGTTTACTTCAGTATTCACTAGTGGCTAATTAGGAGGAGTAAACGGAATAGACTTGAAAGAATTTGGTGCTGATTCTCTTGTGTCATTTCTGACATCTTAAATCTCTGCAAATATCCTGCCATTCTCACTTCAGCTCCCATGAATGACATTTATAACTTTCTGGTTTAGTTTTTGTTATTTTTCTGTACAGAATAATACAAATTATTTAGTTCATTTGATAAAAGTAATGTGAAAAGCAGTGTGTTTCCAGGAATATATTCATGCTCAGTGTTCTTCCAGAAATGATGACTAGTAACCATAAATCAAAGTAGATGCACAAAAGTGTAGACAAGAGTAAGGGAACTGGCTGTCAAATCTGTTCTCTGAAAATAGATCTCCTAGCTGTAGTCATGAATGATGCAAAAAAAAAAAAAAAAGAACTTTGGGTTTTATTGTGTACCTCCAGTATTAAAATGGAATGTTGTTAAGGTGATTATCCTGCCATTATTAACACCTTCCAAAAAGCAATGTCTTTCATAAAAATAATGCACTTACATATTTGAGAGGTTGCCAGAAGCAGAAAATTTTTTTCTTGCACAGGTAAAGAAGGTGATCAATCACTCTTCCTATACTTCTTAGAAATATTATTTTTATATTATTTTTTTTCTTTTTAAAGTGCCATTTAATTCTCTGAACCAATAGAGAATGTGTTCTCCAAACCTGTAGATTAAAAAAACCCCCAGAATTACTCTTAAACTAAAAAGAATAAAAAGTATTATAGCACTTTTTCAACACATACATTGAAAAAGTTTTCGAAAGAAAACAGCTTCCTACCTAACATATATGCCCAAATCTCAGATGCTTGGAAACCAGATGATCCTATTCTTTACCTCGATAATTTTTGAAGAATGTCATGTATTATCATGAGACATTTGCTGGCAAAAGTCTGGGGGAATAGTAGCATTATTTCTGCATTTCCTACTTCTTGACATTTAAATTATACCATTTGGACATTATTCAAAATCCCTTGACATAGCTACAGCAGGTCGCATCCACTGAAATGAGATAGTTGAAAATTCAGTGACAGAAGAAAAAGGAACCTAAAAAGTTTGATTAAAGTGATGTGTAGCTGCTTCAGTCATTACAATGTCACAGCAAAGTTATGAGACATTTCCATTTTTAACAATCTTAATGAGTTCAGGTCCTGCAGTCCTTATTAAATTACAGTCCAATTGAATAGTCAGACTCAGCCTTTATTTCTGAGATGGAGGAATACATGGTAATGTGATCTATCTTGGGAGTTAAACTGGATGCTGTTAGTAGTATCAGTACTAATAATGTGAGTAGTATAACACATAGGTATGTTCTCTATGTAGAGTTCTTAAGCTTAACACTGTCACTGGCTGAAAGTTTCTGAAGCAGTAAAACAATTTAGCTGCCATTTCTCCTTGAACATCAACTGTGAATAAGTGCCCAATTAAAAATTACATACAAGAATCCAAAAAATAATTCCGTAAGAAGGATAGAAATTGGTCTTAATTTAAGGAAATTTTAGAAATAATTAGCTTAGTCTTTTACAGAGTTTTCTAAAACCATAATAGCTTTAAATTTTTTTAAGCAGTCATGGGACATTTTTGGCTTGTTTTTACATACATGCCTATATTCACTACCAGGTGAGGAGTTTGCTGCTTTATAGAAACCTGCTTGCAGAAAACATAGCAGATACAAAAGTGAGAACTTTCTCATCCTGCTTATTTCAGTTAGGCATTGTCATTACACTAGTTTAACAAAAAAGTTGACGTTGCTAAATGTTTTCTTAAAATATGTAAAAATTAATATCAGCATGTTAAGTAAGTATAAACCACGTTTAAATATATTTAAGTGTGTATACGCAGGATTTCAAACCAGCTTATTCAAATCATTGCTAACATATTTAAATTAGATCAGTTCATTACCTAACCAAAAGCAGACTTGCATGCAATTTATATAGTACTTGCTCGTGTAAATTTTTACTGTCTTTTAACTTTCAAAGATTAGAATTGTACAGATTAACATTACATAATGTTTTGTATATAATAAATTTTATGAATAAAAATATAGACAACAATAATTTATGGGCAGGGGGAACAAGTTTTTCAATTTTTTAAAATTTTCACTTCACATTTCATACTATAAATGTGTAAAATTGGTTAAATAAAAAAACAATTCTTACTCTGAGACTACTTTAGGACATAGACAAATTACTACCAAATGTACAAGCATTTCCAACTATGATTACAACACATAATCTTTAACAGTTTACAATCCTTTAAAATGTCTATTATCAAACTTTGATTTAAAAATAGCATTTGTACGTGATAGTGGCCCAGTGAAGCATCATGATGCATAAATGTTGTATGGTACATATTTTTTAATATGAAGTCATTAGAGTCCTGAGAAATGATTGTGCACTCTAATTTACTGTAGGACTGACTTGGAAATTTCTCCAGGTGTACTTTCATTTTTAGGATTGCTGATTTTTGTCTTTGTTTTATATTTTCATGAAGCTGTGTATATATTTTAAAAATTTTTTAAAAATATTTTTTCCTTTTCTTTATGGACACTAGGAGAACTAAACTACTGAGTGCCTTAAAAATAAAATAACTCTGCTGATAAAAGGCAAAGCGGTTTCTTACTACAACTATGCTTTTAATGTCTAGTTAAAAGTACTGTCAGACCATTAATGAAGGTACAGTGCATCTTCACCATCTCATAAAAGTATCTTTACCTCAGAGCTCCACTTAGTAAGGCACATCTGGAGAAAAAATAAAATCTATCCTTATTCTGCTTCAGCAAATTATTGTCATCTTAAGAGTACAGAAATGAATTACAAATTACCATGTTTTTTAGGTTTCTTTTTTCCTCCTTTGAAACCTATATCCCTACCCAGAGAATTTCTTTTAAGAAAGAAAGCAGTATAGCTAAGATAATCTTTGTACATAGCTACTTTAAGACTTCTGAAGACCGTATCTTTTATTTAGGACTATTTTCATGCAGCTGTGTGGACAAACAAATAAGCCAACAAGTGAGAAGCAGGTATTAGAGTCACCAGTGGAATTTAGGCATGGCAATACTGGGCACTGTCATATCGAATCATGGGCATTGAAATGGCCACCGTAATTCACAAACAGAGTTTTGGCATTTGGCCTCCTAATAATGCAGAAGAGCAAAGGAATTCACAGGAGCCAGTGTGCTGAAGGGAAATATACCCTGAAGAAACAGCTGATGAAGAGGGGTTCTTGTTTACCTTTCGGTGTCTGGAGGACTTAGATGTCTAATGCTGCACTAGCCATAGATGCTTATTTTAATTTGGGTTTTACAAGCCTTAACTTGTCTTAAAATTAGAACTATAAGTCTTACAGTGACAACTTTATTTCTACCACTGTACCATTTCTACACTACTTCAGAAGTCTTTCCTGTAGTATAAACTTTCTTACACTATTTCTTGGAACAAAATTTCTGCTTCAGAAATGGCCTGATCATGTCAGCTACAAAGCTCCTAAAGAAAAAAACCTTGGACAATGCAAAACACTACATTTACATTTTCCCTTTATGCATCATATAAATTGTATGTGCTGTTATTGCACATTATGGTTTTCCACGGGATATCTTAAAATTACTTTTGTTGTGAACCCAAATCTTATTTTTATTTTCAAATCTTTATAACTTTTTGCATGGCACAAAGATACCAGTTCTTTACAAGATGAATACATGAGCGAAGTCAAACACAGGTATTTAGCTTTCACATGTTTTTCAGTCTATATTTCAAAACAGCAACTTTTTTAGGCTAAAAAACTGACTTTTATGCATTTCTCTAAACATTAGTCAGCTAGCTATCTCTAGTTATCACTTTTTTGTTTTGTTTTATACTTAATTAAAAGACATTTTATTTTAAGGATATTTTGGGGTTTCCTTACCAATGAATAACCTATGATTTGATTTAGTTCCCATATAGCTTTGAGGACTGTGATGGTACCTGGGTATACATAGATTTCACATGGCTATGTAGAATATTTGGCTTTAAAAGATGCAGAGTAAAGAGAGGTCAGTTACATTACTCAGCATTACTGATAAGTAGCTAAAAAAACAGTACTAGTTTAACACTCAATCACCCTATTTTCATGAAATTTGTAAGATATATTGCAGAATTGTTTTACTGAAAAGACATTTTGATTATTGATAATTTAAAACTTTGTAGATATTTAAACCATAATTATTACGATAAAAGAATGAGCAGCTGATATTTGGTTAATGAATTCAAGACTAAAAGGCCTAAAGGTCTCTGACAGTTTGGCAAATACTGACTGCGTCTCACTAGTATCTGGTTGTCAGCATCAATTACCCTGCCCATGTAAAACTGGCTAAACTGAGATGTAACTAACGGTTGGATATGTGAAAACCAGAAGCTTCCTACAATATGTCTTGAATTTGGGGATATAGTGAGTAACATTAGTCTTGCCATAATAAAAAGAATTTAGAATTAAAACATAGAAATATTTCCATAACTTTATATTGTAGATCTTTATGTCTCAGAAAATCATCCTTTTCAAAATATATATATTTATATCAACATAAAAATAAATTTATATGATTTTCCACTATGATAATATAGAGACATCAATCTAAGGAAAGCTGTGAGGTTTTTAAAAGTATAAACATAATATTATATGACCTAAGGTGCTGCAATTATTTTTAAATTTTATGTCCAAATCAGATAAATTTGTAGCTGCTAAAACTTCTGTGTTTTCAAGATCCTTAGTTTAAAAGAATAAATAAAGCAAAATCCTCACCTGTCTTTTTAAAGTATCATGAGTCCACTTTCAAATAAAACATTTGAACTGGGAATAACAGAAAAACAATTGAGGAAAAAGCCTACTAAAAAGCAATGAAAAAAAGCAGAAGTGAGACCTGTCTCATTTTCATGCATTGATTCACCTGGTATGGAAGGTGAGAAGCAAATTGTGCACTGGAGTGCAGGCAGCACCAATTTTTCTTTAAAAATGCTGGTAAAGGTAATCCTTGTACAGTGTCAGTAGTTTCTAGGAGTGGGTGTAGCCCAATCTGAATGACAGATACCACATGCAGCAACATGGAGACTCTAACTGAGATTGCATCTCAGAAATTAGAGGGGCATGCAGCATTTTCTTCTTAAGCAACACACCTGTACAAGGACCTCACTCAGACACACAGTTTGGTGCATGTGGATCTCTCACTACTGTAATGCGATGCTTTTCTTTTTACCAGAAGCTCTGAATTGTTCGTGCTGTGCTAGTACAAACCACTAGAATTGTCCAGACAAATCTAAATATTCAAAGTTTTACTTCATGAAAACAGCCTCTTTGGTCATGATATGAGTTTTTTAACTGCCCCATAATAAATGGGAATTAAAAGTCAGAAAAGCCCTCCAGGTTCTTTGTGCAGGAAAGCCTGCACAAAGAGTTCATAAACTCACAGCTCTGAACCCAAGGACAGTGCTGGGACTTCAATAGTGTCCAAGAGATGTTGCTGGAAGCCTTATGATGTTGCCTGCTCTTGAGTGCAACAGATCAGAGTGAAGTGTCCTTCCACTAGATGTGTCTGTGCCCATTTGGCTAGCTATGCCTACAGCACATTTAAACTTATTCTTTAACATCTCCATACATTTATTAAATTAGCGATGGATAATTTTTCTCCCCCTGAACTTCTTGTTAAAGACTATTTTCACTTCAGTGTTTTATTGCTTTTTAAAATATATATATTTAATACTTTTGGCTATGAACATTGGCACTTCTCACGTCCCAAGACGTTACAAATGCCTGTAAACATATGGATAGTAGGGGCTAAGGGCTGAATGGAATTATTGTACCAGGAC